CTACTTTTATTTTTATTTTATAAAGAAAAGGCGATGGTATTTTATTGGTCTCCTCACCAATGGATTCGGTCGTCAGTTACTACTTAAAGTTGGAACGATTGAGATGCGATCCCCAATTACGTGATTTATATTTGTGGTAATTTCCATTTTTAGGAATTTCTATTTTAGGAATTTCTATTTTTAGGAATTTCCATTTTTAGGAATTTCTATTTTTAGGATTTTCCATTTTTAGGAATAGCGTGTTCCTTGCCGACCTAGGTTAACGACCATTGTATGATAAGTATAAATAAAAAAAAACCATATTTTCTTTGTGGAAGGGGGCACTGTCTTCTCAGTGTGGACAGGCTGCTGAGGTCAAACTGGTTGGAATTGCTACAAATTTCTTCGTGCCTATTTGTGTGGGTATATAAAAAGGGCCTACTTGATGATATGACAATTGACAAGATGTTATTGTCCTCAAGGCTCAAAGCCAACGAACAAAGCGTATTTATATATATATAATATACATTTTGCCTCTTCACATAAAACAACTAGAGAGAAGACTCATCAAGAATATACTTGTATGCTTGTTGGAGGTGCAAATATATATACTGAAATTCTCCTAAGAAATTTGATTATCTTCTTAATATAAACCCTAAATTACTAACTCTAAGCTCAAATTCCTTTTACTTCTAAATTCTAAAACGTTATTGCTTTAGATTTAAAAATAGTATGGTTCGAACCCTCGTGGTATAATTTGTGTGTGTGTGAGAAATTTCCCTCAATTCTAATTTAGATTATCGTTTATACTAAATATATATATAACATGAATAGTATGATCACATACAAGATAAGTAGAAGATCCCTTTCGTAGTGTCACACTAAACAAAAAACACACACATATATATATAATTGTATAATTGTTTTAAGGACCACACAAAAACCAAGTGACGTGACACAAAGCATCCCAATAGTTGAACCAATAATGAATAAGATACTGCTTTCCCTTTTCCAGTAAGAAGATATTTCTCATTCTTGCAAATCACAGTTTGACATATATGCAGAAATAATTCATAAAAAATACAAAAAGAAAAACTTCTACACATATATTACACTGTTATTGGCATAAATATAGAAGTTCCTACTTACATGATAAGGAGGTTATTTTCCTAATGGATACGGATCTTCTGCCTTGAAGTTTTGAGCATTTCTCACCTGCCTTGCGAGAAAGCTTTAGCTTTTAATCAATTGGGTGGTCCTAATCGATGGTTTCATATCAGCACATAATTTTTTATTTATTTTTTGTCTTATGCAAGTCAGTATGTCGCTTACAAACTTGGGTCCTCTGTCTCTCTGTAAAGGCACACTGCATTGGTTTGATCGCAAGCAACCATATATATATGGCCAGAAAAAATCTGTTGCAGAAAAGAGATACTTCATTCAATTCAAATCTCATAAACAAGAGTTTGTGATATATCATCAAACTATTTTCTTACAATAATAAATAAAAAAAATAACAATATTGAAGATGAAAACCCGCTGAATTTTAATAATATGTATTGGGAGAGAGAGAGAGAGAGAGAGGAAAAAAAAAAACTAAAGCAAAGCCACACCCTAGGACAGCTATTAATTGTACATGGGAAACGAAATATCACCGCAAATAGCTAATGAACTCTACGTTTTGAATATGTATTATTAATTAATAAAGGATATTCAAGCATATATAATAATTAATCAAAAGCTCCACAGACCACTTTCTCCTCCGTCTGAATTGCCCGAGGAGTCAGGATAATCAGGCGGTCTCGGCGGAGACAACAGCATTCCTTCTGCCATTTCGGCCAACAAATTCGGCATCCCAAAAAGCTCTTCTTCATCTATTCCCACAGATGACGCCAAACTGGAACTATTCATCATCGTCCTCATGTCGTCCTCTTGCTTCCTCTGCCTCTCTCTGTTCTTCAGACTGTTATTTGCCTCCTCATCCCACTGTAGTGCAGCAGCGGCGGCGGCGGCACTGCGAATGTCCTCCGGTGATGTGGATGCTGGCACTGGATAAGAGGCAATGGAGCTCGGAAAGTTGAGAACAGCATCGCCCCGTTTGAGAGCGAGAGCGGCGACGTCATAGGCGGCCGCAGCCATCTCCGGGGTTGGGTAAGTCCCGAGCCATATCCGCCTGGTCTTACGTGGCTCACGGATTTCGGACACCCATTTTCCGCCTCGGCACCGGATTCCATGGTACCTAGTGTGCTTCCCGCAAGAGCTTGATGCCATGGTGGTGGGGAGTGGAGGGTGTTTTAATAATTGAACAAGCTCTGGTGGTGAAGAGAGGGAGAGGAGAATGTGGGATGGCTTGGTGTAAAAGGGTGTGGTTGAAGGAGGGGCCTGAGGAGGAAGAAAGGTCAAGGGGTGGGTATGGATAGGTCAAATATATTTGGCGCAAGTGAGTATTTTAATTTTGGTCAGCCATGATATATATAGATAATTTCGTATATATAGTTAGGTAAGGATGTAAATGTTGAGGCTTGTGGGGATTATATGTGGAAATATATTAATTGGAAGACACACAGAGAGAGAGATATAGAGGAGTGTTATGGTTGAGGTTTGTTTTTTAAAATTTATATATATATATATATATATATATATATATATATTTTTAAAGGACTTCTCTTATTAATAGAAGCGATAATATATTAAATTCACACACTACACTGATGCTAAGATTCTAACACTTCAGATTTTAGGAAAAGAGGAAGGGACCGCTGAAAAGTTGTGGCATGCACCCGAGAGAGAGAGAGAGGTGATTTTGTTGAGTTTTGTTTTTTTTATTATATATATATATATATATATATATATATATATATATATATTTTAAAGGACTTCTCTTATTAATAGAAGCGATAATATATTAAATTCACACACTACACTGATGCTAAGATTCTAACACTTCAGATTTTAGGAAAAGAGGAAGGGACCGCTCAAAAGTTGTGGCATGCACCCTGTGGCCGCTTGAATTCTGTGGAAGCTTTAGGGTTTTTGACACTTTTAAAATAGTGGCAATTAAAAATGATACAATTTTGGAGAAAGTGTGTATGCCAAGTGTGGCAATTGCAGTGTGTTTTTGTTCCTAAACCTTTTCTCTATTCATACCCTTTAGTGGGAAACCTCCACGGGCCTTACTCAGTCTCCCATCACTTGATCATTCATAAACTCTACCAAAAACAAAACATGGTAAAAAGTTTTTATTTATTTATCAAAAAGCAACTTCCCTATATAACCTTCAAACAACATAACTAAAAGTAAAACATCAACATGACAAAAGCAGCCCCAACAAATACTAGCCCACATCACTACAAAGTATAATCTTAAATAAAGCCCACGAAACTCAAATTAACTAAAATTCTAAAACAAATCATGAGCCTAAATGAATTCTACTACTACCACTTGAAGAAGCACTTCCGTCAAACCCACCAATGAATCTACCCCTTAAGTGAATATGTAACATGTGACAAAAATATGTCAATCAAACATTCATGACTGAAAAAAAGGGTGGATTGTAGAAAACCCATTCAAATGCGAGGTAGAACTGAATTTAGAGAAGATGATAAATTTTAGAGAGATAATTTTGGAAGAAGGATTTGATTGAGGAATTTGCCCAAAAGAAGTGATGTGGAACTTCAATGAGTAAAGAGTTGTAATCAAACACCATAAGATGCATTCATTCTCAAGTTTTCTGAATTTTGGTAGTGGAAGACATTTTTGTCATCCACTAGCTAGTTTGTCTTGGTTTACTTGATTCGATTTAATCATCCAAATTATTTCCCGATTGCTCTGTTAAATTTGGTAAGAAATTTGGAAGCATTTAAATTCCAATCACCATCCAAAGATCAATTAATTTGACATGATTAAACACAGAGCTTTTCTGTTGATTAGGAGCTAGCTGGCCCTAGCATCACTTCACTAGTACTAAATGAAAATGTTGATAATTACTCAAATATAATTTGTTGGTGAGTCGTCACTCGTCTCTACATTTTGGCCATGGTGTTACTTGACAATATATAATGATTTTTGCCAAAGAGAGGCCCTACTATTTTATGCATGGCTCCCAGCCTTCCAGCACGCTGGGCCCCCTGTATGCCCCTCACATGATTTTGCACCTAAATTGAGCCACTTTCCTTTAATGGAATACTCAATTGAGTAGGTTCTTTTGGGTACATTACAATATTACAGGGAAGGGAGGGATCTTTCTTTCCTTTCATTGAGTATGTTAGGGGCGATCTTTTTTAGAGCACTACAATATTACAGGGAAGGGAGGGATCTTTCTTTCCTTTCATTGAGTATGTTAGGGGTGATCTTTTTTAGAGCACTTCCACCAGTTTGCCCTTTGCCATGGCGAGGGGGGGAGGGGGCTAGGGCAGCTACTATTCATGTGAATAGTAGCTGCCCTTGCAAAAGGTTGTGGTGTTTCCACTCATTGCCATGGCAACAACTATTCATATGAGATATGAGGAGAGAAATTTGTATAGAGTTTTGGTGTGGGAAGTGAAAACTATGACTAAGTATTTATTTTTAAAAAAAATCTGAATTTTTTTTTGTATTTTTTGTAGTTTTTTTATAATTTTTTTTTATTGCTGACGTCATCGCTGATGTCAGCAAACATGGGCTTGAACTTGGGCTCATCTTGCCTGGTTTTGTGGGCCCCAGCAGCTGCCCTGGCCAGCCCTTGCTGCTGGAAACGATTTTTGGGCCTAACCTCCCCCCACCCTTGTTGCTGGAACTGCTCTTATAATTAGGTTTTCATATGTACTATTGTTAGATCTTTATGCAAAGAAACAGAAAAAGAAAAGAATAATATACATAGTTGTCCAGAGATTTTAATATATTATTAATAAACTGTAAGTTGCATTAATTCAGTAGTGTCGATTTCAACAATAAGTGAAGTAGATATTTAGTGTGACTTCAATTCCCTTATGACTCTGTCGTTCATTCGTATTATAACATGCAGATTAGTATCATTACATGATGATGTGGCTGAAACACTAAAAATGTTCTCAATTTTAAGCTATGTGTGAAGTTTAGCAAATCTGGTGTTAGATTGTAGAAAGTTTTTAGATTTCTAACACATAAAAGCTTTGAAAAAGAAAAACTTTCAATTCATATAAAAAGAATGGTGAATCCACCACCGCCAAACTTGTGATTTTATCTCAAAAGAATCAAATCCATGGTTTACTCACATATTGTCAAAAATCATGTTTTTAAGCTTGAATCTTATTTTCAAACCACAAATTAAAAGAAACCCAAAAACTTTCAAACTCAAACCTAGTAAACTTTGAAAAATATGTAAAAAAAGGAGAAAAGAGGAAAGGAAAAGAAAGAATGAAAGAGATTTGACAAAGATCTCCATCAAAATTAAAGGTTTGTGTGCAACATGGATGTAAGGAAGTGTTGAGGCTCAAAAAAGTCACGAGAAGCCCAAATATATTTAAAGCCTAATATAACATATAATGTTGGTCATGCATTAATCTAAGCTGTATTTTAGGAATTAATTCATTAAATAAATAATAGTGCCTATGCCATGCGAAGCCAATAATACATTTTTCATATGTTAATCACCTATCAAGCTCACATGAACCCAAGTCATGTGGTTTACGGGGCTTGTACGAGAGATTGTGGTGTGGAAGGTTACGGAGGTCCACAAGGCCCACGGAAGCTCTTGGATAATGGAGACTTTGGGTTAGTTACTTTGGAGCACCAAAGTCCAAGTTCATTACTTAGAGTTCGCAAATGTGGGTGAGCAAATAAGATATTTTTCAAGCACTTCCTTTTATCCATAGGAAATAGTCATTTTCCAAATGCCTAGATTTACCCGTTGGAAACAAGCCTTTTCCAGCACTCCCTATTACCCGCTGGAAACAAGCCGTTTTCAGCGCTTCCTTTTACCCATAGGAAATAATCAGTTTATGGTACCTAACTTCACCTGCTGGAAAATAGCATGCCCCAGTGCTCCTTTTTAACCATTGGAAATAGGCTGATTCCAGCACCTCCCTTTACCTATTGGAAATAAAGGAAAACCCTTACTCTCTATAAATTGGGAGGCATTTGCTAGGCAAAATCAACCTCTCTTGGTTGCTGCAAGTCTTTCAGCAACCATGAGAACTCATCTTCCTTACTCACTTCGGCTGCTGCAAGCATTCCAACGGCCATCCCAGCCATCAACCCCCATCCTTTGGTTGTTGCAAGCATCCCAGCAGCCATCGACCAACATCTCTTGGTTGCTCAACCACCCTAGCAACCATCAAACCATTTTCCTTCATCCCTTTAGCTACTGTAAGCATTCTAATGGCCATCACATCCATTCCTCAACCATCACAACCATGTTTCCTACTTTCTCACCCTTGAAATCCTCCATCTTTCCTATAAAGCCTCACCAAGCATAACTCCAAACTTTTCCTTCCTCCTCATACCCTTCCAAGCCTTCAAGCCTCAAGCTTTCCCCTCCATCCCCCCACATTTAGAACTCATAAATCTCTATAGAATCATAGTCACAAACACCATAGCCTTCAAAGTCTTAAGTTTTTCTTTCCTCAATCATGCTCTTTGAAACCCCATTTATTTGACTGTTATAAGCATCTCAACAACCATCACAGCCAAACAATCAAACCACCATAGCCATAGCTTCAAACAATAAGTTCTCAACACCCAAACTCAAGCATATCAAACACAAAGCCAAGCACAAACATTCTCATTTGCTAAACTTGTGGGTCTGTCACGCCCCGGACCCGGGGGTCGAAGGAAACCCCGCGCCCGGTGCGTGAGAAAATAAAATAAAATAAAATAAAGATAAATACAAAGAAAAGCCGAAACATGGGTTTGAAATAAACTTCTCTTATAAAAATAGCTCCAAAATCTTATAACTTTACAATTAATAAATAAAGCTCTATCACTCTCATCTAATTCAACTTCAACCGATTTAGTCCTCGTCTTGTCTACTAATTCATCTGAAAAATTAAACAGGGTGAGGGATGAGCAACCACCGCTTAGTGAGTAGATTATGTACTATGCCAGTCAAGCAATGCCGTTTTACACACTCTATAAAATATAATGAAAAGATACACCAATCCAGATCATATCACATCATCCCTTCATATCTTGGTTATCCTTCATAGCATGTAACCAACCACGTGACCCCTATTGGCTTCACTGCCCTATGTCCCCGTGTGGTACATCTATCCCTCGGATATTCCAACATTGAAGTTCTCATGTTCCATGAATAATACATACTTCATAAATATTCCAATCAATATATGTATACTGTGAAAGATTGCACCAAATTAGACATGCTTGACTTTGAAATAGAGAGATATTTGTAAATAGAATAAATCCACGATAATTCATGGTTTTCATATTTTATCACAAAATAAGAACTTTTAGAACACATTACA